TCTAATGATATATCTAAAGATATACAAAGACTCAAAACAAGGGGATGGAAAAAAACTCACCAACCAAATGGAGAGCAAAAATAAATAAATAATAAGCAGGAGTTGCAATTCTCACACTTAATAAAATAGATTTCAAAGCTACAAGGATGCAAGGGTAAAAGGATTAATGCAACAATAAGAGATCTTAACACCCAGATACATAAGACACATAATGAGATTTAGATTCAATGAGACAACAAATTGATAATGATATCCAGGACTTGAACTCAGAGCCAGAACAAATAAACACAATAGAGGTCTCCATTTTAAACACATAAAATATGCATTAACCACTTTAAACACTCAAAATATTGATCGGCCATTATTGAAACCCATTTTAGGAATGAAGTAATATTCCTTTTTCCCTCTTTTTCTTTCTTTCCCCTCCTTCTTCTCTTTTTCCCTCAAAAAAAAAAAAAATAATCATGAAAAGGTTTGAAAAAAAAATAAAAAAATAAAAAAATAAAAAATAAATAAAAGACTTTCTCACTGAATCTAGACTCCTGTATAAAATTTCCTCTCCAACATCTCCGCCTGGATGTCTAAAAGGCATCTCAAAGTTAACATGTCATCCCAGTAACAAACTTCTGATCAGCACAAACTCCAGATCTTTAGCCCCACAATTCAGTAAAAGGTTTCCAGCAGCTCTGGCCAAAAAACTCAGGGTCATCTTTGACTTCATGCTTTCTTTCATACCACACATCAAATCCATCAACAAATATGGCCAGTTCTATCAGTATCCAGCCACTCCTCACCATCTTCACTGCTTCCATCCTAGTCCAAGCCATATCTTCTGCTTACTGGCACCCCCCAACCCCCACCCCGACCTCCCTGTGGTCCAAACTTATCCAGCAGCTTGAGTGAGCCTCTTACAACATCAATCACTGCATGTCTCTGCCCACACATACCTCTTACTGGCTTATCTTCTCACACAGTATGATCTGCAAGGCCCTACGGACCTGTGTCCCTCCCCTTGTTGCTCTGACCTCAACCCCTCTGCCCTCACTTGCTCTTCTGGCCCAGTCACACTCCTTGCTCTTCAATGAATATCCTGGAAAATGCTTACCTAGGGGCATTTACATTTCTGTTATACCTGCCTGGAACTCTTGTTCTTAGATTTCTGCAGGGCTGGCTCCCCTGGTCTACATGTAAACATCACCTTCTTAATCAGATGTTTGGCTTTTAAGAAACCACTTCAGATATTGCTGGAGTTTCATGCTTGCCATTCAGCTGAGGCATTTGAAAAAGATATTTTGCTGACTGCACTGGCTGGCACAGCTCTAGAGGTCTCAGTCCCAGTGAGCTGAGCTGGGGAAAATCATCCAGCAATCAGTGAGTCGGGGCTTCAGGATCTATGTATGAAATCTAAAAGTAATATAATAAAAATGATAAATTTAAAAATATTACCAGGCTCAGTGGGCTCAGGCGGGAGGAACACTTGAGGCCAAGAGTTCAAGACCATCCTGGGAAACGAAGTGAAACCCCGTCTCTGCAAAAAAAATACAAAAAAATAGCGGGGCTGGTGGCACATGCTTGTAGTTCCAACTACTCGGGAGGCTGAGCTGGGAGGACTGCTTAAGCCCTGGAGTTTGAGGCTGCAGTGAGCTATGATTACACCACTGCATTCCAGCCTGGGCAACAGAAGACTTGTCTCAAAAAAATTTAACAATGTGTGTGTGTGTGTGTGTGTGTGTGTGTGTGTGTGTGTGTGTGTCAGTACATGAAGGGATATGAATTTAAAAGCAGAAGAAAGTGCACTCCTCTGGGAGATGTTATAGGGTCTTGGGATTATTGCTTTTCCTTATTAGCTTTTCTGTGGGGTTTAGTTTAATAAACATATGATAAAAATGAATTTTAAATATCTACCTGTACATTTAGGTCTTACTGAAGCAGTCATAACAAGGGGCAGACTCTAGGTCAAAGACGTGCTGCTGGAATTTCTGTTAGAAGCGATCCATCCAAAATTGTTAAACCAACAGCATGGCCACTGCAAGTTCCTGTATTCACTGGGTGCTTTTCAAATTAATTCTCTAACTTTTCTCCCCTCATTTCTCAGACAAAACCTGAGGGTAGACCCTAGCAATGTAATGAGATGATACCAGCTAAGCCCCATGCAACATATCATTCCTATATCACAAATTATAAATTGTTATAAATATTTAACATATTTTGGTACAGCCAATATAAAATGGAGAAAAAAGAAAATTAGATATACCCCATTAAAAATAATTATATACCAAATCTATTTTGTATTTCTTTCTTAAATATTTTATGTCTTACTTTCTTTCTTAAATATGTTATCTTATTCCCTCTGAAACCTAATGATAGGAAAGTGAAGAGGGAAATATAAACTATTTTTTTAATTCCATCCTCTTCCTTGAGAGTAATTAAAATAAATAAAATTTATTGTCTATCCACTCTATCACTCATATAACTGAATGTGAAATCTTCCTCTCAACTCAGTTTTAGTAGAATGCCAAATATGCAATAAACATACCAAATACACCATTAGAGTTCTACGAATTAAAGAAATACATGTGCAGATAAAGTACCTTTTCCTTAGGAAAGGAACCCACAATCCCAGCCCAGATGGCAGACAGCCTCAATGGAGAAGAAATTCTTCACTTAGAGCCTAACAACAGCTCTTCTTCCTTCCTCTAAATCAGTGGTCCTTTACCTCTTTGGCACCAGGGACCAGTTTCATGGAAAAAAATTTATCCCTGGACGAGGGGTCAGGGGGATGGTTTCAGGATGAAACTGTCCCACCTCAGATCATCAGGCATTAGATTCTCATAAAAGTGAGCAAACTAGATCCCTTGTTTGCACCATTCCCAGTAGGGTTCGTCCTCCTGTGGGAATCTAACCGCTCCACGGATCTGATAGGAGGTGGAGCTCAGGCGGTACTGCTCGCTCACTCCCACACCTCCTGCTGTGCTGCCCAGCTCCTAACAGGGGTTTGGGAATGGGAGAGAGTGATAATTCAAATTTTATCTCTACTTATAACTTTAAAGTGTTGGTATATACTTCATGGAACAACTAGAGCATTACAGGATGAGATACCCTAAAGTGAGGTAACAGAATGAGCTAGAAGGTTTTATTTGTTTCAGTAAATTTAAATGAACCAGACAGTTGCCTCTTAGTATCAGACAGGCATTAATTTTTCAACATATTAATTTCTCCTTTGCACAGTAAACAGATCCTGAGAAACTAAAATTAACCTTCAAATAGTACCAATGATCACAGTATGAATTCTATTATGAAAGCTCAAAAACACCTCTAAAGAAGGCAAATTTACCATCCCCATTTCTGAGGAGCCTGAGAAACTAAGTTTCTTTCTTAAACACGCACATTTCTCCCCATCCCTGCCTCACATCCCTCCTTATCTGCCCAGCCAGCTTGGTGGCTGTTTTCTTTATCTTGGACTAGAAAAGCCGAACAAATCTCCAAGAAGTCTTCTGTCTTAGGTGAAGATGAGACACTGCACAAGCTCAGTGACACTGAGCGTAAGTCAAGGCCAATCCTGTATACATGAGATGTGTGAAGCTGTTTAACACCACAATGAAAGACAGAGTTGAAGGTGCAGCTCCTACTCCAAAGCAGATTAGAGAACAGTTTGAAGACCCTAGGTGTCTGCAGATGGCTCCCGTTCCAAGAACCTCCGGAGGTTGCATCAGCTACAGGTGCTTCCCCAACTCCCCTCCCCACTGCCAAGGGGAGCTTGTCCTGCTCTAGAGTAACCCCTGCTAGGTGTGCAGAGGAAATCGAAGCCGGGCTGAGAGCGACTTTGGGCTCATATGGCCCTGGGATTTCGTATGATTTGTGTGAGTGGAGGTCTCCTGGATGCATTGCCATGTGAGCTGTCTGGTTTAAGGCTCTAATTATTTTTGTTTGCTTGTTTTGTAATGACAGAGTCTTACTCTGTTTCCCAGGCTGTTCTCAAACTCCTCAAGCCATCCTTTGCTTCATATTGGACAATCTTAGATTAGTGGCAAGAGTAAAGATGTTTCAACTACCTGTGATTGCAGCATTACATAGAGGAAAGGGCTTGGCCACACACTCTGCTTACCATCTTTGTGAACTTGAGCAACTAACCATCATGAAACCACTGGGATGAACACAGTAGCAACTTAATTATCAAGCATGATCAGAATAGGTATTTGTTTAATCAAAAAAGCCAATGAAGGGGAGAACCAAGAATATAGATACATTCACACTTTACACATGCTGTTTTTAACTTAAAGTGTACAAATATACTGCCATTGGCCAACTTGATGTAGGGTTGGGACTTCGTTTGAGAATGGGTATGCCAATCAGAATCCCATTGTGTCTGTCTTATTTAAACAGCACCCATAACGCATCATCTGTGAGTTCCAGTTCTGGTTTCTCCACAGAGAATAAAAGTTGCAGACATAAGCAAAGCCACCTGCAACCTTTCTACCTTGTAGATTTTCCAAAGCACTCAACATCATACACATAACTCTTTTTTACTCAGATTTCATTAGCATATATGATGGGCAAATGACACCAACACAATGACTCGTCTCTAAAATTCAGCTCAATGGGGGAGGGCTGAAGTGCACAACACAGTAGCCCCAAACTGCCCCCAGAAAGCAGTCAGATGGTCTCCAGAGTGCCAGACAGCCTAGTGAGGTAGCTCAATGGACACTAGCTAGGCAGCCTGCTACAGCATTTACCGTAGAGGAATTTATTGTGTCACCTCTGTCTTCCTCGTGCCTAGCATGGTGCCTGGGTGGTGGGTAGGTCTTTATAACCATGGGTGTTGCTATCACAGGAACTGCATATTTGTACCAAGCAACAGTGTAAGGCTCTGAAGTTTGATGAGGAAAATGTTACCAACAGTGAGAAATCCCAGAAGAAAAGCAACCTCCTCCACAATGCAACTGTCACCTGCACAAATCCCTACTCATAAAACAAGCTACAAGACTTGAGAAAACACGTACTTCTCCAAGGCGCTCTTCTCAAGCCTTTCCGCCTCCTTCTTCTGCCAAGCCTTGTGCTTCTTGACGCGAGTTTCCCACAAGGCTCTGAGGACAGAAATGTCGAAGACAACCACTTTATGTCCCATTTTGGAAATGTGAAATTACCTATTAAAAAATATAGATATGTCAGATCAAAGAAAACGGTTTTGACATAAACTTCAAGGTGAAACGTGAATGAATCACCTGGCTGAAGACATGATGATATGCCTTACTGCTTCAAGGATGACAGTTTGCTTTGTTTTTTATTTGGTTTGTTTGACTGGTTGGGTTTTGTTTTGTTTTTATTGAGACAGAGTCTCACTCTGTTGCAGATGCTGGAATGCAGTGGCACGATCACAGCTCACTACAGCCTCTTGGACTCAAGCAATCCTCCTGCATCAGTCTCCCAAGCAGTTGAGACTACAGGCACATACCATCACACCCAACTAATTTTTAAATTTTTTGTAGAGACAAGGTCTTGCTCTATTTTCCAGGCTGGGAGGATGACAGTTTGCTAATGTTCTTAAGGTTTGAGAGTACTTTGTGTAAATAAGTCATAGTTAAACACTCACCCTAGGGTTACCTTCTCCAGGTGATCATGCTTGTCTCCTTAACCCTCAGATAGACTCTGGGCTCCCAAAGCCCACTGTGCATTCCTCAAACTTCACGGTTCCACATTCTATTGAATTCACTAGTATATGTACCTAATATTCCCAGTAGGCTGTTACATAATCAAGGATAAGTTAAATGAATTAATCACAGTGTGTGCACACGCACACACATTCTCTCTCCTCTCTCAAGTAGAATAGAATAGAACTTCTTAGTTGCATTTAAATCTAAAAAAAAAAAAAGCTCATATAGGCAGTGTTATAGTTGCGTTTCTAAAAGTCCCTTCTGCTGGTAGAATTCTATTCTAAATATATTTGAGTGTTCTTTCCTTCCTTTAAGTATAGGAGATGAGGCACATAACAGGGACTTCCTTCTGTAACCCATCACCTGACTTTTTCCCCTCTGGGACTGCCTTTTCCATCTGCCTCCCACCTTCTTTCCTCAGTCCAGCTGACCTAACTCATTCCTCTTCTCCAGGGTAGTTTCTGTGACCACCAGTCTCTCCCTCTCCTCCCCAGTCCCCAGCCCTCATTATCTGAGGACTGACCACACAGCCTGGAGACATGTCCTCTGATGTTTCCCTGCAGATGAACCTTCACAGACTATTGATCTCTGTTCACTTGGTTTTCCAAGAGCAAGGAAAGTCCGACTTGGGTACATTTTGGCCATCACATCTCAGTGGGAATTTAGAGATGATTTAGTCTCTACTTTCAGTTTCACCAAATAAAACATGAGAGGCCCCTCAAAATTTTATGTCTATATCCCTGGCACCTAGTATAGTGCCTTGCACATGGTAGGTCCTTCATAAATATTTGTTGAATGAATGAGTGAGTGAATGAATGAATTAGTAAATAAAAGATATGCATCCAGATTGCTTAACTCTCAGGACACTAAATGAGCTCTCTTCTTTTTTATTTTCCTACTTTATACTTACTATTTGTTTTAAGTGATTATTTGATCATTACAATAAAAATTATCAGGACGGGAAAGTACCTTTCAGTGTCCACTCCACGAAGTTATACTTTGTCCCTGATCTAAGTAAAGTAACTTCCTACATACTGTTTGGACTTCCCTAATTACAGCAGCAAAATCCTGCGAAATCCATTTCCTGATTTGCACAAACACAGATTGTCAGTTGCTAAATAGTAGGGCTGGTGAATACGTTCCTCCTCCGATTTCAGACACTGCTAAGTAGCAGTCAGGGATATGAAGCCATATATTTAGTCTTCTTTGTATTTTTCTTTTCTTTTTTAGACAGAGTATTACCTTTTGCCCAGGCTGGAGGGCAGCGATCCAGGTACATTCACTGCTCATTGCAGCCTCAACCTCCTGGGCTCAGGCGATCCTCCCATCTTAGCCTCCCAAGTAGCTGGGATCACAGTCGTGCATCACCACCATACTTGGCTAATTTTTTAATTTTTTTCTGGAAGCGGGGGGCCTCACTATATTACCCAGGCTCGTCTTGAACTCCTCGGCTCAAGCGATCCTTCTGCCTTGGCTTCCCAAAGTGCTGGGATCACAGGCATGAGCCACCTTGCCCTGCCAAATTTTAATCTTCTGAATCAAGAGTGTGCGCTCTATAAATGGTATGCCAAAAGGAGTGAGAGAACTGGCTTATGTTTGCACAGCTGAACATGTGAAAGTATATAATTTTACTCTAAAGAGCTGACAATGCTGACCTAATTTGCTTCCTTCTTTCCTCTGATTTCTGATGTCTGAGACTGCCTTTGTTTTTTGTTTGTTTGTTTGTGGTTTTATTTTTCCTGAGACAGGGTCTCACTCTGTTGCCCAGGCTAGAATGTCATGACACCATCACAGTTCACTGCAGCCTCAACCTCCCAGGCTCAAGCATCCCTCTTTCCTCCACCTCCCAAGTAGCTGGGACTACAGATATGCACCACTATGCCCAGATAATTTTTGTATTTTTTGTAGAGAAGGGCCCCACTATGTTGCCCAGACTGGTCTCAAACTCCTGAATTCAAGTGATCCACCCACCAGGCCTCCCAAAGGGCTGGGATTACAGGCATGAGATGCTCTGCCCAGCCTGAGACTGCCTTTGTCTCCTTTAAAATTTTTTACCTAAAGGAGATTTTTGACAAAAGTTAAAATGATGCACAAGTTTCTGTGTGTATATTTGTTGTCTTATCTTGGGTAAATATAAAAGAGAATTGTTAGGTTACATGATTACTCTATACTTAACCTTTTGTGAACTGCCAGACTGTTTTCCAAAGCAGCTACATCATTTTACATTCCCACCAGCAGTATGTGAAGATTCCTGTCTCTCCACATCCTCACCAACACTTGTTATTATCTGTCTTTTTTATTATAGCCATCCTAGTAGGTGTGAAGAGGTATCTTGTTGTTTCACTTTGCATTTTCCCAATGGCTAACGATGTTGAGCATAGTTTCATATGCTTATTGGGCATTTTTATATCTTTGGATAAATGTCTATTCAGATCCTTTTCCCCTTTTTAATTGAGTTAATTGGTAATTTTATTTATTGCTAACTTGTAGTAGTACTTTATAGATCCTAGATACAGGTCCCTTACCGGGTATATAATTTGCAAAAAAATTCTTCCATTTTGTGAGTTGCTTTTCACTTTCTTGATTCCATCATTTTATATTAACCTAACTATATACTTATGGTTGATGTGAGCTTTTGTAGACAGACTATTGCTGGATCGTTTATTTAACCAATTCTGACTGTCTCTGTCTTTTAATTGATTGATGTAGGCCATTTATATTTAATACTTGTATGTTTGGTTTAAGTCTGTCATTTTATTACTTTTTCTCTATTTGATCCTTCTTTTTTTCCCCCCTCTTTTATACTTTCCTGCCTTCTTTTCTCTGAACACTTTTTAGTATTCCATTTTATTTTCTTTGTTATATATTTTACTATGTCTCTTTGGGTAGTTTTTTCTCGTTTCATGGTTGCCCTAAGAATTATTATGCATACTTACTTTTTCATAGTCCACTTAGAAACAATATTTTACCACTTCAAGTGAGATGAAAAAATCTTACCACCACATAGGTCCCACTACGTTCCCACCTTTATGTTGCAGTTGTCTTATGTATTATGTCAATCGATGTTATAGTTTTGGCTTCCAATCATCAAATTTAAAGAACTCATGAGGAGAAAACTAGTCCATTATATTTATCTTGGTATTTATATGTTTCTGTTCCTTCCTTCCTTTCTGCTGTTCAATTTTACCTGTTATCATTTCCCTTCTACCTAAAAACTTGCCTCAACAATTATTTTAGAGAAAATATGCTGACATATCTGGTTTCCTTCAACTGAAGATGTCTTTCTCTTACCTCCATTCATAAATATTATTTTTGCTGGATACAGAATTTGAAAGCAACCTGTTTTTTTTCTATCAGCATTTTTTAAATGTTGTGCCACTTTATTCTGGCATCCATAGTTTCTGATTAGAAATCTGCAATAATTTGAATCATAATCACCTATAGGGTATGCATCATTTTTTTCTCTTGCTATTTCCATTTTGTTTCCCCATCCAGAGACAAGATCTCACTCTGTCACCCAGGCTGAAGTGCAGTGGCACCATCACAGCTCACTGCAGCTTCAATCTCCTAGGTTCAAACAATCCTCCCATCTCAGCCTCTCAGGTAGCTGGAACCACAGATGTGCCCCACCATGCCAGGCTAATTTTTTTAAAAATTGCAATGATGAGCTCTCACTGTGTTGCCCAGGCTGCTCTCAAATTCCTGGACACAAGTGATTCTCCCACCTCAACCTCCCAAAGTACTGGGATTACAGGCATGAGCCACTGCACCTGGCAAACTTTTTTCATCTTTGTATTTCTTCAGGTTAATTATTATATCTGGGCATGGATTTGGGAGGGGGGAGTTATTCTGATTTCAATTTCTTTAACTTCTTTAATCAGTTGATTTATATCTTTTGCCAAATTTGGGGATTTTTCAGCCATTATTTCTTGAAATTTTTTTCTGCATTACACTCTTTCTCCTCTCCTTTTGGGATTCTGATAACACAAATATTAGACTTTTTGGTATTGTTCCATAGATTCTTAAGGCCTTGTTCATTTTAGATAAATCTTTTCTTATTCTCTTTTTTTCAGGCTGGTAATACCCAGTAATCTACCTTCAAGTTTCCTAGCTCTTCCCTATGCCATCTCCATTACGTTTGTGAGCCAATCCAATGAGTATTTTATTTTGTCTATTTTATTTCTAAAATTTCCAATTAGTTCTTCATATCTTTTGTTTCTTTGTTGATATTTTTCTATCTTTCCATTCATACCCCAGGGCTGAGGGATATTTTTCTATCATTCCCCAGGGCTTTCTTGATATTTTTCCATCTTTCCATTCATACCCCAAGGAAAACTTGGAAGGAGTTCAGCCCATCAGATAGCAGGTAAGTCCTCCGGTTTGGGCAGGCTAGTCTGGAGTTGCTGGGCAACTAACAGACAACACCTTCAAGTTCAGGTAGGAAGCGCTAATCAGCAACTGGTGGCATGGCCATGTAATGGAAGTCCAGGTGT